CCCCAAAACCCCAAAACCCCAAAACCCCAAAACCCCGTCAAAGTTTGGAGACATTGAAAATTAAGAGAAATCTGTAAGTTTAAAATATTCCAGTCTGCATCTAGCCTCTTATGAGCACACCAGTTGTTATTTATGGCCTTTTAGTGTTTGGAGTGTGATATCTTCCTTGCTTGTGCCTTTGAGCACATACTTGGTTAAGAGATTTTCAGAAATGTTAGATTCAGAGTTGGAAAGTTTTATGATGAATAATATGATGAAATTTCAAGTTAATGGGTAAATTTCATGAAATTTTCTCAAAATATTGATTATAACAACTAAAGAAGAAGAAAATGGACTCTTTTGGTAGTATATCTCAGATTGCACACTTCTTTTAAAACCTTCATTCTATTTTGATCAGTAATAGGAAATCTGATGGGCTAATGTGACTAAATACCGAAACTCTAGAGACATAATACTTGCATTAACCCTCCATAACCTCATAATCCACCTTCCCACACAACTCCGAGACCTAAACCACCACTAACATTAATTCTCTAAAACTCCTTCTACTAAATTCCCCAGCTAGGAGTCTGACTTAGAAGGCAGCAGAAGGAGGAGGTTGAGGGCAGGAACGAATTTTTGGAGGACGGATAGGAGATTTGGGTTGAAGAGAGGAATGGGTTTTGGGGGTTGAGGGGTGGAGGAGGGGAGGTGGGTTTGGGGGTCTTAGGGATGAGATTGTTGGAGAGAAGAGATTTTGAGAGGATTTTTGGAGTTGATTGGATGGTTAGGGTAATGTAACGGCTGGTTGTTTTGAGAAGTTTGGTAATTATTAGGCAATTTTTCCTTTTCAGATTGAATATGGTATGATGGTAAAGATACGAGGAAGAGAAAGTGTAGTGATTTTATAGTACTTGGAGAGTTGAGATCAGCTCTGGTATTATGAATCTCTCTTTATAGTTATTATTATCTATTTTAGATTTAGCCTTAACCTAAATTTTTTAGCATGATGAACAAAACTTCGAACTTTATTTTAGACTATTGCAAATTTATCGAGATCATTGAACTTTTTAATAACTAAAGCTAGCAGCGTAGATTAGAATCAAACAAGATGGAGTTGAAAATAAAATCCCTGTGTCCTGGACATCAGCAGATGAACTGAAATTATAAAATTCAGAAGTACAAAATTTTCCACATTTTACTCTTCATGAAATCGTCTAAAAATTTCTCTCTAACTCAATTTCAAGTACTCAAGAACCATCTAACTCTCTCCTTCTCTTGATACAATTGTTCCAAGCCCTCAGATCATCTACTTGCTCCATCTCCTTCTTAAGCACCCACTTCATTCCTTCATATGTCTTCACACAGACTACCTTTCCTTCATCATTCATCGAACTATTCATCATCTCAGAATTCTCATTATTTATAATACCGATCTTGTTTCTGGTCCTTCTACTTCAGCCCAGTCTTCTTGCTCATTCAAGTTCCTTTAAATCCCTCCAAGACATACCCCACCTACAAAATTCAAACGTCAGCCAGTCTGGCCTAGTAGAGGAACAAAGGAAGAGAGAAATAGAGAGGAAGAAGAGGGAGATTTGGAAGAAGTTTCGAAGGATTTCTGGTCATTATTTGAGAAAATTGTTATAATTTGGAATTTTAGTGGAAGGGGTTTTGGGGTTTTGGGGTTTTGGGGTTTTGGGG